TATCCTAACCACTTTGAATACACAGATACAAAATGGACATTCATGTGTATACCCTATTTTTTTTAAGTTCCGTTATTGAATATTACAGGTGTGTAAACTCAGCAAAATATTCTAAAAGAGTCCAGTAGACCATAATAGCCTTGGGTCTTCTGTTTAACTGGCAATGTCAGAAATTATTGTATGCTACAGTTTTGATTTGTTGAACAGAGCAAAGTCATGCCTTTTAAGAGACACGGTATTTTCTGGAAGTTTATCTTTTGTGCATTTAGTCTCCCACAGGGTCCCACTTTGAAATTGGACTCATGTTAAAGTTACCTCAAAGTAGGACTTTGAACCCCTGGCAATCATCAGACTTGTGGAAATCCTCCTACATCAGCCTCCCAAGAGCTAGGGTTACAGGAGGTACTTCCACACTTGGCTGAAGTTTCCCTTTTGTAATTAGTGCCTAATTACATTATGATATATTTTATTCATATATATCTCCTCATTCATCTTACTTGGACAGTTTTAGGATTTCTTATATCTGAGTGCAAGGTGATCATTTGGTGTTACTGTGCTATAAGGTAATAGGCTGCACAACCCTTGCTTACATTTGCATTTATTTCATAGGCTTGTGTTCTGGTTTGTATCTAATTGCCCCCCCCCAAGCCGTATGTAAATTAGGGGGCAGATGTGGCTGGAGGAGCAACGAGGAGCTGCCAGAGGACCAGGGTAGGGCCCGAGGGCCGGGGCCAGAGAGGTGCAAACCGTTAAATTGGCTAGCCTATGCTTTAGGAAGAGATGTGGAGAGGATCATCCTGGACACGGCATTGCCCCAGCCTCTCCACCAGTATCTTGAAATCTCTAGTAACTGTGAGCTAAGTAAACCTTTCCTTCCCTCATTTTGAGTTTTGGATATTTTTCCCAGCAACGAGAGAAGAGTAACTAAGACAACTTGCTCCAAAAATAGCGTTTTAATGTTATTCATGAACCTTCTTTGCTTTCATTTTTATTGGTACATTTTAGATATACATAATGATAAATTCATCTTGGGAATTCATACCTGTACATGATATATATTGCTTTTTGATGTTCTTCCATTCTCTTCCCTTCCCTATAAAACTCTTTCTTTTTGGTCCTTCTGTTTTTCTTTTTCTGTCTTTTCTTTCTTTCCCCCAGCTCTCCATTGTTCCTGTACCAATTAAAATATTTTCTTCACATTCCTCGGAAAACAACTAGAGGAGCCAGTTGACCCAGATATTCCCTTTCTTGATCTCTTCCTAAAATATTTCAGAGTGTTGTACCGCAGTGATATATATCCATGTTTACACTGGCAGAGTTTGTACATAAATTTTTAAAAACAGCCCACATGTCCATCAACAGGTGAATGGATAAAGATTTTTTTTTTTTTGTAATAGAATTGTATACTACTCTGCCGTAATAAAGAAAAGGGCCGGGGAGATGGCTCAGTAGAATAAGTGCTTGCCTGACAAGTGCAAAGGGCTTGAGTTCAATCCCTGGTTCCACCCAAAAGGAAAAAGAAAAAAGAATAAACTTGAGGCATTTTTTGCTAAATGAATGCATATTAAGATCACACTCTTAAATGAAATATATTGGATGCATGTATGTAGATATCTCATGGTTTCTCTGGTGGCAAAAACCAGAAGGATAAATGGGGAACAAAATGAATATTCTTTGTTTAATGTTCATTAAATTTTTTCCCCAAAAAAACCAGACTCAAATTTCAAAATGCTGCCTATGTACAGTATAAGAAAGAATGACTTAACTCCTCATTAGGTAATTTTCTGCTCCCCTTCTTTTGGTGGTGGAATGATGATTTGCAGGCTGCCTCCATGGGCTCTGCTTTAGAAACAGTGCACAAATTCACTTTCTGCAAACCTACCAGTCAACCAGTGCTACTATTGTGCTGTAGCGTTAGCAGAGCGAAGCAAACTAGCATCTGAATTATGTGTGGAACTTTGTACATACACATAGATTTGGTGACAAAGATATGGAAATTTTTCTATTTGATGAACAAACTCAGTTCAGCTTTTATAAGAGGGGTTCAGGTTCTCAGGGTATGGGTGTCAATGTTCTTTCAGGAAATATGTGTGTCTTTATTTAGGAGGCAGTGACCATGGAGGATGTAACAGTGACCTTCACCAAGGAAGAGTGGGCTGTGCTGAATCCAGCCCAGAAGAAGCTCTACAGAGAAGTGATGTGGGAAACACTTAGGAATATAAATGCTGTAGGTAAGCATGACATCACATTTATTCTTGCTAATAGGTAGAGATTTGTTAAATAAAATGTACAGACATTTTGATCAGTGTCTCAGGCCCATTTACATTATACTATGAATCTAACATATCTGTAGATTTTGATATAATGATATGGTGACTTTATTTCTATGGTTACAATTCAGGAAGGACTTGGTCCAACCAGAAAATGGAAGAAGAATACCAAAATTGCTCAAGAAATCTAAGGTAATTTACATTCATTTAAAGAAAAAAATAGTATTTATCAAGAATCCATGTGTTAAAAAAAAAAAAAAAGAATCCATGTGTGAGCAGAAATGTTACAGCAAAACTCTACAAATCATGCCATATTCAAATTTACTTTAAAAAGATTTACTCCATTTCAGAAAAATTATCTCAATATGCAAAAATTTGATTTTGCATAATCTGACAATTGAGTACAGAAATGTTCCAATGGAAGAAATGATAATGTTGATATTATGAATAAAGAGTTAATATCTCATATGTTGATAAAAAAATTCCTTTATGATCAATATCATGAATATATATGAAATTACATTTAGATTTTGTATACAGGCATATATGTAAAGAATACATTGTGGGGGCTGGTGAGATGGCTCAGTGGTCTAAAGCACCTACTTAGAACAAGCTAAGCAAAAATGCAGTGACCGCGGTTCAATCCCCAGCACCACATGCCAGCCAGCCC